CATTCTGAGGTCCCCAGTGTGTCACCTCCGAGGGCAGGGAGTCTGCTGAAGCAGACCCACAGAGGCTGGCTTCTGTGGTTGATGGGGTCCCCCTGTCTCCTGCTCTTGCCACTCACCAAGTCAATTCCTGGCGGTTTTCAGACCCAGGGCCATCCCTGGAGGGAGCACGATTTGGCAGAATCACATTTCTCCTGTCACCTCTGTGTTTTGGAGTGAAAACAAACATCCGAGCAGGCATTTGGGAAAAGATATTGTAAAGAGTGACACGCAGTTCAAAGAGGCATGTAAAGGGGGGAAGAGCCCATCGCTTCTTTCTTCGAAAACAGATGACAATTTTATAGCCTGACTGTATGTCCCTGAGCCTTGGCTCAGTCTCTCACTTCCTGGTGGAACTCCCTTCTCCCACTCTGTAATCTCCCTTGTTGATGGTACAGCTAGTGGAGAGTTCTACAAAAATGCAGGAACCTGGGAATTCACCCGCATGAACAGCAGGTGCCCCCAAAAAGCATGCACCTGTGTAAGCTGATGGCATGACCCTGCGCCTGATCTTGGTGGACATGAACCTATCATCCTGAGTTGCACACGGGTTTCAATAAATGTTTGATGAGTGAAGGTGCGGTCATTGTTATTTTCATCCCCCATTTTTTGCATTTATGGTCCCTTATCCTGATCTCCTGGAATGAACTATTTAGTATGTTTAATATTAGCGATCTTGGAGGTATCTAGGGGCACTCCCGTTGAGCTAAATGTTGTTATCTAATTATGTAATAAATAACATAGAGAACCTGAGAGAATTTGAGAGAGTGTGTGGGAAGCTTATAAAGGACAACACTTTCTTCTCCTTCATAAGTTACCACTTTGGAAGCATCTCATTATTCTATCAAATACTCATGTTAGGAAGCACGATGTTCGTAAGCTGAGAAAAGTTTCACATTCTTGTCATTCGGGCAAACTGGAACAGGAAGGGCTAGAGCTAACTCTTTATGTGGCAGAGTAGCTTCCACGTATGATTTCAGAATGTAAATATTCAAGTGCAAGGTCTCTGTGGTCTTTCTCATGACTGCTCTAGTGTTTGCACACTAAAAGAGGCACAGCTGATGCGTAAATGGAGAGGTGGGACTGTCTTCTGGTAAAACGTTATTTATGGACAATTGAATTTGAATTTCATCTAGTACAAAATATCATTCTTTTGATTTTTTTCCCCCCAACCATTTTGTTCTCAGGGCGTGCAAATACAGATGGTGGGCCAGATTTGGCCCAGAGGCCATGGTTTACAAACCCCTGTACTAGGGCCAAACCCAAAATAAATGAACAAACGTAGTCAGAACAAATCATGCAGTTGTCCTAAGTCTTTCTGGCCATTTGAAGTTACCAGGTTGCTTTGACAAATATCAGTGACTTCAGATTGGGGGAGAAAGGAACTGTACTTCAATGGGTCCATTCTTCCACAACCTTCTTATCTAGCATACGTTAGAAAGAAAACAAGGCTCAGCCTAGATTCGACCACACGTTTCACAACCCCAGATCCTGTATGCTCAGGGACATCAGCATGGTCTCTCTCTAGACACTCTAACAAGTACTTTGCATGGAAGATTTACTCTTCCTACGGCAGGATTCTGAAACACTCTTCACTTTCTCTGTGCTTGTCTATGTCTTTCCATGTCTCTAGTTATCTCTCTGCCTGGGCCTGCATGAAGGTGTTGACTTCTTGAGGACACTTCCAGTTCCAGAAAACATCTAATAATACATTGAATCAGAAGGGCAGCTGCTTACGTGTGCCTTATTACCCTACACACACACACACACACACACACACACACACACACAGAGTAAGTTTGGTTTAAAGTTGTCCCATGGGGGCACCTGAGTGGCTCAGTCAGTTAAGCATCTGCCTTCAGCTCAGGTCATGATCCCAGGGTCCTGGGATCGAGCCCCACATCGGGCTCCCTGCTCAGCAGGGAGTCTGCTTCTCCCTCTCTCTCTGCCTCTTCCCTGCTCCTTCCCACACTCACTCTCTGTCTCTCTCAAATAAATAAATAAAATCTTTAAAAAAAATGAAGTTGTCCCATGAAGAAGTATCTTCCTGTTTTTCTTTATCACTCAACATAAAATACTGATTTTCTTGGAGTGATTGGAGATTAGAGTGCTTCCAATCCAGTCTAATTTCATGAATGTAGATCCATGGCGTTTCTTCCCCAAATATCCCAGATACAGTTATTTCCCTCAGGTCATAAAATGTTTATTCTCTTTTGATCAGCTAGTCACCACAAGTCCAATGCATTTTGCTGAAAACTCATTTGTAACGATTCAGAAGTAGAATGTAGCCCCGAAGTACTAAATCTTGAGAAATGGACATCCCATTTGCACACAATAGGGTGGGAAATAGAATAGGGAGATTTTTGGAAATGGTTTATAACCAGTCAGAGAAGGGAACATTATGCAGAATTGTTAATGCTGAATATCTATTCAATGTGGATACAGAGTTTTGTCCTTATCAGTTAGATTTATATTTTATAAAAAGTGAATTAGAGATTTGTAGGCCATTTGCTTTTGATAAAGCCACTTTTATTCTTTACCAGTGTCTTAACCTCTAGAACTCTGCTTTTTTACTGGGATGGGAGTATCAGAATGACTTGGAGAAAAATCTCAAAATTCATATTGTTCTATACATCCCCATTTTGGTATCGTCAGTACCTTCAAATGAGAACCTATTAGGAACACACCGGTAGTTGAATAAGATATCACTTATCCTCAAGCAAGAATACACCAGGGAGAACCATGGGGTTTCTCAGTGAGAGGGACTTTGAAAGAATCGATTATAGGACTTGGAGTTTTGTTGGGTGGTTTGGGGGAGGGTTCAGAGAAGCAGGGCTTCAGCCTCGATTGGATGCTTTCAGAAAGGAGAGGTAAATCTACGAAAAGGTATCTCAATAAATCTGATCAACAAGGAGGGAGAGTAGTATGAAGATCAATCTGTAAATGGTAAGGAAGTACATTCATTTTGCCTCAGAGAGGAGATGTTCAGTACTTTTTTGATGACATAGGGCCTTGTTTTTGTGTGTGCTTAGACAAAATTTTGAAGTGGCTTTGCTTTGTCTCCTTTATCATGGTCTTGGAGTAATTTTGTCTGGGATTGGCATTTCTGTGAGATTGTTTAGGTGTAATAGACTATCATGACCTAGCTGTGAGTTGCCAGGCTGGCTTCTGAATGTCAAGGGCAGCCTGTTTTTCTTTCTTAATACCTACACCCTGTTCTCCCCTCTAGCACAGCTGTAGTGGCTACTGCTTATTTAATGACACATTTCCAAGTTTTTATTACAAAATATTTTCAAGGTACAGAAAAAGCAAAGGTAATAGTATGATAAACATAATGCATCCATCAAACAACTTAGGAAATAAAAGATTATAGATAAAAGTATTTGAGCACTCTCTCAAGTCCTAATTTCTCCTGGAAGGGAACTGTTATCTTGAATTTGATATTTATCAAGTACAATGCATTTTCATTTCCTTTTTAAAAAAATATACATATGATATTTTATGGTCTCCCTCCCTTCCAGGAATTATATAAGATCTAACTTTGGTACACAGTTCTGGTCATTTTTTATTCTGGGGTTGTCTTAAGTAGGCACTAAAGCATCCAACGACATAAACATGAAACACCCTATACTTCACACAGGTCGCAGGACATAATTTTATATAAGTACCGTTAAGCATTATAAATGAATTTTAATCACCGCATCAAGTACTTGTGCATTTGGATTTCAGTGCCCTACAGTGTCTTTGATCCCAGGGGCAATTTGTTGTTCCTGCTTACCAAGATGTTGGGGGGATTTTTCTTCTTCCCTCCACAGGCTCCACCAAACATTATGACATTAACAGAGCTGCCTCAATGGGAAATTCACATTTTATGCATTAACAGTCTATTTTAAGGTCATGAAGCAGAGGTTTGTTTCCTCCTTGCAAATAGCACCGAAGAAAGCAATATTGCCAAAGGAAGTGGTCTGGTGTATCCAGAGATAAAGACGTTGAATTAAATACGACTTTCATTACCTTTTACTTTACATTTCCATAGAATGTAAGCATTAATTAAACCCCTCAGTGCCTTCCTCCTTGCAGGAGAACATTTCCTCTCTGACAAGAATTGTCAACTGAAGGATTGTGTGCCACATGAGACCTGCCATTGAAAACACACTCACTTTCCCCGCGAGCAAAGCTGATGCATTCTGACAGACGGACAGGCAGAGACAGAACACAAGGAATGATCCCCATCTTGTCTTGCCCTTGCTGTCACACAGACTGCGGTGATGGGACTGAGCATCTTGTGCGTTACTGGAGGTTTCCAAAGACAAGCACACTTATAACTGTATTACATCTCTTGTCACCTGGCGCGACTTGGCACATTTCAAATAAAAGCAGGGACATTGTCGTGGTCTTCTGAGGTCTTCAATATACTTTCCCTTCCATGGCAGGGACTAAACATCAGGTGTCTTAGTCTGTTTGGGCTTCTGTAACAGAAATAGCATAAACTGGGTGGCTTATAAACAAAAGGCATTTATTTCTCCTACTTCTGCGGGGCTGGGAAGTCCAAGATCATGGCACGAGTAGATTCCGTGTGTGGTGAGGGCCCGCTCCCTGGTTCCCAGACACCATCTTGCTGCATCCTCATGTGTCCAAGGGACAAACTAGCTCTCTGGGGGCTGTTTTATAAGAGCACTACTTCCAATCATGACCTCATCACCTCCCAAAGGCCCCAGATCCTAATACTATGTTAAGATTTCAGCGTATGTATTTGGAGGGACACAAACGTTCAGAACACAACATCTGGCTCAACTGAAGTCCTGAATGCTTGGGATGTTAAGTCCACTGAGGCCCAGATGCGATCATGGCGCTGGCCCAAAGGGTTGCTGGACCAGGTGCCCCAGGATTTGAGGGGAATGTTGGAGAAGCAAATTCCCCGAAGTCCCTATCATCCCATCCTGACGTTTACCTTCTCATTGCAGGGGAACACTTAAGAATCTGCCCTCAAGAATATACATGCTGCACCACAGAAATGGAAGACAAATTAAGCCAGCAAAGCAAACTCGAGTTTGAAAACCTCGTGGAAGAGACGAGCCATTTTGTACGCACCACATTCGTGTCCAGGCACAAGAAGTTTGACGGTAGGTGGGACAGTTTCTGCTTCACTCTGTTCTGGGTGTGCCTTTCTGAGAATCTCGGCCTTCCATGAAAAACATTTTTTTAAGCAGGAGCTTTTCTTTCCTTCTTAAACATTTATATAACTTGGTCTATTTTTAGAAAAATAGTTCTTGACAACTTTTGTAGTAATATCTTAGAACAGCCCAAGTGAACAAAGTGCTGTTTTGAATTTGTGGTCTGCCTGTGAGATTTATTCTGAAAGATTTAGCTTAATTTTTCATGATTAGAGTGATTCTAATTCAGGTTTTGTCACATCATAGCTTGTCTTAATTTTTCATCTGGGGATTTTCTCTAAAATAATTAAATGTCATTTAAAATTATTTTGAAATATAACAACACTTCCAAGAAGACAGACTTGTTTTAAGTGCTACAGACATGGACTCCTTTATTTCAGAGTTTGCTCCTCCAAGGATCTAGCCACATTTTACATTGCCGTGACAGTGCATTCTGCGTAAGGTTTAAATCCTCTGTTGATTTCCTGATTATAAGTCATCAAGTTCCTTTCTATATTCTATTTGTTAAATAAACATTTTGTAGGAGAAAGCACAAAGAGTGAAAGCAATTATTACTTGGATTTCAGCATTGAATTTTCTCATCCTAACCTCAGAAAAAAAATTATTCAAAAGCAACCTAATTTTTGTAAACTGAATTAATAATGATAGTGATGAAGTTCATATGCTTAGGTGGTTGTGTAGTCTTTAGTGCTCTAAGAAAGGAATGTGCTTCCTGGGGCTCATTGTCAGCAGACTCGCCAATCGCGGTGACCCTTCCTTGTACAAGCGTTGGGTCACACTGAGTTGTCATGGGGCAGGAGACCTGCCTCATCCTCTCTAGACAATGCACGGTAGAGCCGGTTTAGAAAAGGCTTGCCGAAGTTTTGATTTTCCTTTTTCTGTTCTCTGTAGTAGGTAAAATGTTCTGCTTCATTGCTGCTTGAAACTATTATAGCAACACCAATTTCTTTCAAATCAGCCCTCTGAATTCTGAAAGGCAGGTCCACCTGGCAGTGTTTTCAGTGCTTAAGGGGATGTGACATCTTCCATGGAAGTCAGTGGGACTTCATCTTTTCTGCCAAGGATCTCAACATCTGCACCTTCTTCCTCTGCCTCTTCCTCTGTGTTCAACTTTATATGTGGATGTGTACGAAAATAATTCCTTACTTAGAGGTGATGCTGTGACTGTTGTTCCCTTGAATGAAACCAGGGGGTACTTAGCTGTTCCCCTTAATTGACAGATTACAAATCCAGTGACATTCAGGAGCCCCTGAAGGGGCTCCGGGTTTGAGGAATGATAATGTATCACTTCAGATGGAGGCAAATTGAGACACCTTATCATTTGTTACAGAAAGCAGGGAGAGCGACCTGGTGCTGTTGACTTTTACCTGTCTTTGGAAAATGATTCTTGTGCCTTTATTAAGCTGTACTCCAAAATTGCGGGGAAATAATTCTGGGGCACCATTCGTGACACACGCTGTGTATTCCTTTCAATAAAAATATTTCATGTAAGGTAGTTTTATGGGGAATTGATTGATTTTTTTTAAATGTGTAAAGCCATTCAAAAGGACAGAACAAGATACTTGTATTCTCATCTCAATGACTTTTAATATTAATCTTTGGATTCAGAATCCTTGATCTCATCTCACTTGTCTTACTAAAGAAACCTCTCTCCATCTCTCTGTCTCTGTCTCTCTGTCTCTGTCTCTCTCTCTCTCCAGATGTGTTTTAAATTGTTTTAATGTGGGCGCCTGGGTGGCTCAGTTGGTTAAGCGACTGCCTTCGGCTCAGGTCATGATCCTGGAGTCCCAGGATCGAGTCCCAAGTCAGGAATCCCTGCTCAGCAGGGAGTCTGCTTCTCCCTCTGACCCTCCTCCCTCTCATGCTCTCTGTCTCTCATTCTCTCTCTCGCAAATAAATAAAATCTTAAAAAAAAAAATTAAATTGTTTTAATGTACTTTGGGGTATTATGTCCATTGGTTTGACAGGACACTGATTTTTGTTAAGATTAGATCTGACATGGGGGGTGGTGAATTCTTTTCCTCATAGTGCATCTCACTGCATTAGGCTGGGATGGGGAGAAGTTGAGATTTTTTTTTTCAAGGAAGCTTTCAGCCAGCCTTATTTTTAAAACTCAAAATGTGATCCTGGTGAGCTCAGCTTTTGAAGAGCTCGGTCTTAAAAAAAAATTAAGAAAATATGTAAATTTAAAATTTACCATTAGAAGTTCTGCTGTTTGTTTAGGCAGTTTCGAGAAGGTCAGCCGCACAGTTGTATGACTTACCTTCTTATCCCATGAAGGGAATCCTGCTGAGTCGCCTTTCAGGAACAGGCGTGCATTCACGTGGGCAGTTTTCCATTTTTTTCCCTTAGTTTAAAAACAAACAAACAAACAAAACTTCCTCATTGATGAGTATCAGTTGGTATGAGCACAGAACTATCTAGGATCAGCTATGGAATGTTACCCTCTGAGTTTTATTTTCCCAGATAAAATCAGTGGTGCTCTGAAAGACTCGTTTATTTTTGGTAGCTTCCCATTCCGTGAGTCATTTTGCATTCTTGCTGTGGGGTCCCTTGATCCAAAGTGTCCATTTTGCATTTCTGACTCCAGTCCCACTTTCTTAGGGATCTTGACTTGTCATCTGGATTTTGCATGTTTTAGTTGGCTCTATTATATATATATAACTATATTCCATGAGAAGGTGACTACTCCCTTTCCTATTTTCATTAAGTACAGGAGCAGTTAAATTGCACCTGATACATATGATTCAGTCCAAACCCTATTCAGGGAGGCTAAATTCAGTCACTGTTAGTCATTAGTCTACAGTTGTTGCTTTCCTTACTGTACTAGAAATGTTTTGATTCCATTTAGGTTTTCATTTTGTGGGAGAGATGATTCCTAAAATTTGAAATTCCAAAAACCTTAACATAACAAGATTTTATTTATTTATTTGACGGAGAGAGACACAATGAGAGAGGGAACACAAGCAGGGGGAGTGGGGGAGGGAGAAGCAGGCTTCCTGCCGAGCAGGGAGCCCGATGCGGGGCTCAATCCCAGGACCCTGAGATCACGACCTGAGCTGAAGGCAGACGCCTAACGACTGAGCCACCCAGGCACCCCTTAACATAGCATTCTGTTTATTGCCATATTCTTTCCGGTTTTTATTAATATCTTTGGTAATATTTAGAAGAGACTCTGTATAAAATTCTAACTATTCATTGGGTGCTCAGAAGCTAAACCTGAATTAATATGAATTCTTCCCCACCTTTCCTAAATGGACAAGTTTGGCTTCATACCTCCATTAGCCCTAAAATTTGTGGCTCGGAGGCAATAAATTGAAAAAAATATATAATATCAATTGCAGACATTCTCGTTCTTTGGCAGAGAATTTTCTTATGACTGGGTAGCTTTCTTTTTCTTTTTAAACATAGGATTGAAATGTTATGATGAAGGTATATAAAATAATAGTTTATACACTTGGCACTTGTCCTTTTCCAAGTGTCTCACAAGGTTTTGGTTAGTTCTTTTTTTTCTTCCCTCCTTTCTCTGGCCAAATCTCCACCTCTGGCTCTGTTATCTAGCCCTGCAAGCCCATTCCGCTGCTGACGGGGGCCTAGCTTGCAAAGATTTCCTCAGAACTCTACAGGGTTGCACTTAATTTGCTCTGTAGCCAAGCCCAGACTTTCTGTAACACTCCCGGGGTTACATCATGAAGACCATCCAGGAACACCTGGCAGGATGATCACAGCATTACGTAAACCTTTACTTCTCCCCTGTCACACCTATGCCAAACACCCAGGCAGCTGGAAGTGTGCAAAACCAATAAGCAACTCATATAAAAACATAAAAAAGGGAGGGACATCTTCATGCACCCACTCCTTTTCCCAATATTGTTGTGTGTACTGACCCTCTGACCTGTCAAATTTGTGTTTAAATCACAGCCTCAGTCATACTACTAAGTGGCTAAAGTGTTAGGATTCTAGGAAAATAGACAACAACCAAACACTTTGATATTAGTCATAGTAATACTAGGCCAACGCCTGGCTCTGTTCCTCACCCTTTACAGATGTTAAGCTAGAGACCAAAGCGAACCACAGTGCAGAGTCGCAGACTATTCGGTGGGACACTCAGCATTGAGTCCTAAGCTGAGCACTCCTCAAGCTCTGCTCTTTACCCTCAGGACCCTTTAAACTATCCTGTGCTTTCCAGTCCCCCAGTGTGCTAAGGTTTCATAAACAGCAACATCTATTCATCTGTCTCTCGCGCCTGCCCTGTCCCAGTCATCATGGGAGGATGTGATGATGTCTTTCAGAGACAAGTGGAATGGGACTTTTTTTAATGCTTAACAAAGAAAATTACCCACCTAAATATAGTCTTGCCTCGAAGGAATCTGGGGCCTAGAGAGGGTAAACCATTTGCCAAGTTTCCACCAAGAAGAATGAAACCAAGACTGTAGCCTAATACTCTTGACTTACATCAGACTTATAAATAGTAATGGGATAGGAACTTGACATTTGCTTGAAATTCTAACTAAGCTTTTATTTGTTTCGAGTGGACTCTGGCTCAGAATTATTGATATTCCCTTAACAAGGCAATGGTGATATTGGTGGGGAAAGAATCCAGCTATATTTTTGGAAAAGGCAGGAATAGTATTCAGTGAGAAGTTGACCCTCAATTAAAGGGGAATGAGTGTTTTGTGCAAAAATGTTATTGAATCAGTTAAGCCATGTTATATATTCTTATCTCACAAAGCCCCGGTAGCTTCTGTCTTAATGTGGGTACCAGCACCCTATTCTCTAAGAATGTATATGAAATATGGATTATTCAGAGATAGGAAAATTTAGTTGAAGGGATATTTTCTTTTGCTTATTTTTTTCTTCATATTTATTTGAGCTGAAATTTATTCACATTTGAAGCTCAATATGAGGTTTTTATTTGTTTAGTTTGTTCTTCTTGGTCTTATTATTTT